CCCCAAAACCCCAAAACCCCAAAACCCCGGAATAAGTCAACACTGTTGATATCATAATATAATTACAATAATTCAACCCTCTCAGTATATTAAGGACTGACTGACTAACAAACACTTATAAGTCTGGGAGGGTCTAACTTGAACTAAGTTATCAGCCTGTAGAGGAGTTCTGCACTACTTCATCTCCTCCTCTCCCTCCCTAAAATCTATCTCTGGGCGGACCCTCCACTGCCTTGTGGGGATGGCTCTCCAAAGTTTCTCCTGGCCGCGGCCGCTTGCTGCAAATGCAGGCTAGCTTGGCCTGGTGAAGAAGTTGGCTGGGAGCTAGGCTTAAGGCAGGGGATAAAATATTTCTGACAAAATCATAGACGATAATATACAGTCAACTTTTGGTAATCTGAGGGCTCATTACATATTCAAACATAATAGGGTTCCAGCCTCAGATAATAATTTGTTCCATAATATCAAAAGCATTTAGAATTGTTTATTTGCAATAGAAAACTGACTTTCAAAGGAAAGTTATTCTTGAAAATACTTCAGATAAGATTTTTAAAGGATTCTGACAATACAGAGAAGAAAAATCTAAAAGTGATATAAAAGAAGGAGATAAGTTAACCAGAGTACTTAAGAATTTTGTAAAGATCACTATCCATGTCTCACTAATAATAATTATCATTACTTTAAAAATATTACTCATCTAGGATTCTTCAGAAGCCTTTAATGCTGAAATTATTCAAGAATCTGAGCTTCTAATCACTTACAAATTAGAAAAATTCACAAGTCCCTATTTCCTGAGTGCAAGCATATACCTTGATTGCCTCAAAAATCGGTAGCTTTCTATTAGTTATAGCTTAATTGGCAGCCCACTGCTGGCCACAGGTGATTTTCAGAAAAAGTAATGAACCTCTGATACTTGGTAAACTTACTATAACATGAGTAAATCAGTTTCAAATTTAACTAATTCTTCAAGCTTTAGGAAAATACAAATGGCCAGACTTTGCTGACTCATACTTCATCAGTTCAGGAAGAGACAGACTCTATGTTGTCATTTCTCATCAGTTTGGGAGGCCAACATTTTGACAACTTGGCAATCAGTACGACTTCTTGGCCAAAGGGCTTACTTATTATAAATTCTACAAATCTTGGTGAGATTGGCCAAACAGTTGCTAAATTGATAACGAAGGCTTCATTTAACCCACTCTCTCATGAGCCACTCACTCTAGGTTAGAGGTATCCTCGGTATGTTGCTTCTTTAATCTTGAATAGTACAAAGGAGAAGAACCAAAGTGCTTACCTCAAGGCTCTAGGAAGCTACTCAAAATTTTTTATTTCGCAAAATTTTATTTTGGTTTATGCTTCCAAATTATTTAAGAATTTTTCATGAAATAATTAATCAATTTTGGGAGATGCAACACAATGTTGAGTCATTTCTTCTCAAAATCTTCTTCCAAGAGGATTATAGTAAGCCAAAGGAGACGTATAAATGCTTCATTAAGAGATGTCACTCTTAAGCTCCAGCCACTCATTAATTTTCTAACAAAATTTTCAAAACAGGCCTCAATAATTTTTTACTTTTTGTTTTATTTTCATAAATGTGAGTAAATTTCTCTCGAAATCTAAATAATTCAGGCCAAACTTTCTTTGGCTTTTCAGCCAATAATTTTTAGCCAAAGCTCCCTATATCTACAGTTAGAAGTCTTTGTCAAAATTTTATGAAATCTTCAAGTGCCAGATGAAGGTAGTAAAATACTGATTTTAGAATAAACTTCAGGATTTTGAACTTCTATATGCCTCAATTGGAAGCAATGAAGTAAGAAAATAGTCTACAAGTGTGGGAGACCCTGTGGAACCAGTAGGGCTACATGCACATCTAGGCTTCCGCCACCATTTTGAAGACTTTCGAATGGTCTGAACTTATGAAATGTCGAGGGAGTAACCTCATTTAGTCGCTCCTTTTAATTTACTGTTGAACAGAGTCTTATCAATCGAGCCAAGCTTTCTTGGCAAGTGAGGATGTTTAGGCTGTTTTTTATTAAAATAAACACTGATAGAGGCCAACCCAACCTTACCATGAAAGTATACCCAAATCTTGGAAAAGTCTGAAATATTTTTAGAAATATTTGGAATTAATTAATACGTTGCCTCTAGCTTGAGCTTGCCAAAGCTAGGCTCTAAGGTTCTTGAGGATGTCACTCGAAGGGATCCTCCTCAACTGTGTTGGCTGCATCCTGGATGAAGAGAACGAGGGAGTTCAACCATGATTTTGGGATTTCGATTTTGAGTATCTGGGATGGCTGAGTTTGAACAGAGATTTAGACAAACAAGGAGCAGGGAATCTTAAGCTCTCTTTTTCACATAATCTTTTGGAATGATAAGCATGTTCCCCTACTATTTCAAAGTCAGCTTTATTGACTTTTCCTTTATTGCTCTTCAGAGTATTTCAAAACTGCTTGGTAGTTTTAGGAATCTGTGGAGAGCACTCATCTTCAGATAAAAGCTGGTCTTCGTCAGCCCAGATGTCTTGGTTAGAGGAAAATGACTTCATACTTTCTAGAAATATTATTTATTATTAGTAAGTTTTCTAGTTATTATTTATATACTGGGGTTTTGGGGTTTTGGGGTTTTGGGGTTTTGGGGTTTTGGGG